CTACTGGGCTCTTTTGTCTAAAGAACGACTGAGGAAATGGTGCTATTGGTAGGCCCCCCACTTGGTGTTGTTCGCACCGATTTTGCGTTTCATCTCTTCAGTGGGTCAAGATGTGAAATTATTCAGAGATACGCCTGGAGCAAATCTTAGCATTACTGTAAAAATTTTAGCATTAATAATATTCTTATCGAAGGTACGGTTTTCCTTGTAGAACTCCTCCAAGTTCACACACAATGGCACCGCCTCACTTCCGCTGCAGTTTGATGTTGGAGTATAGGTAAAAAAAAAAGCATCACCGTACTTAGCTGTACGATTCAGCTATACGGGTTCAATTCTTGTCGACAGCTGTCGTGTTGGCGTATGGCGCAGTGGTCAGAGGCGCCCCGCAATACGTATGTGGTCGATTCAAGCGACACACGCTCACCAAGCCCTCCATCCCTCTGGGGTCGGCAAATTGATATCAGACTTATCTAGGAGCATAGCAGTATTGGCTCGATACATCTGGAGGCCACCATGACGAAAGGCCAGGCATGCATTCAATCACCGACAGTGCTTAAAGAACTCGAATGCATGGCGCATCCTTCAGGGATTGATCAACGTCGAAAATTTTCTCCTTTTTTACTTTTTTTTTTAATTGTCCGGTTAAAGGAAACGATTTCTATGGCACACCGAGATTGTGTCGGCGAGAGGTTAACCGCCCCAATTCCTGTGCATTTGTGTATTTAGAAGAAAAAACTCTTCATCAAGATGTTAAACGGAATTTGTTGGGCGCTACCTTAAGTCTCAGTTGTTTCGAGGGTCTTGTACTCATCTGCTTCAATTTGCATCGTGAAATCATTAAATGAAACCAGTGAAGCTTTTGTAACCTTTCTATAAATCGTCCTACCAAACACTGTTACATTAAAGGCTACTTTGTGATAGAAATAATGATGGAGTCATTTGTATTTCGGTAAGAATTAGCTGTGGAGAATTTCCTGTAACGTGCTGTAAAGTGCAGATGGACTCGTATGTAACTTGCTGTGTGTTAATAATAGATCTCATGTGGACAATACTTACTGTTTGGGACTTCAAAACGATTCCAATATAATTCGCAGTATTTGATAGTAAATTTTTGGCCAGATTAAGGCGTAACGTCGGGATGCATTGAGTGCAATGCATCTCGTCCGAAAACGGCTACTTTGAACTAAAACCAACATATTTCGGCTCATATTAAACGTTATACCAGGACGGTGGTAAATCCTGGTATTGGTTTACTTCTAGCTAGGCTTCCTAATGGAAACGCCAGGCTCCTTCTCAGCTTCGGAGACCCTACCAGGTGGATGAATCACCCTGCTGTGCATCCCGATACTCAGGAACACCTCTTAACCGCTATGAGGCGGTAAACCGTTGGGAGGAAATACAATACTATACATAAATATAATAACCTATAGATAGAACTGATATTTCAACTGAAAGCAGTAAAGGCAAGGAGAAAAACAAGTTCTGTTTCGACTCACTCAGGTCGCTTAATCTACAACTGAGGGTACAGCACTAGCTTCGTCGCTAACCGGCTCGATATCAAACGACGTAAGGTAGACTATAGCTCAAATTTATACCAGCTATCATTTCTTCTTGTTTGTAAGTCGAAACAAAACTTAATGTTAATATGAAGGATAAAGCTCTCGGGGTAAGTCAATCCCTGAAGGATGTATCATGCATTCGACTGCTGACTGAATGGATATTTGACCTTTACACTGACTCGTGGTGGACTAGCGATATATAGAGTCAGTGCTGCCGTCCTACCAGACAAGGCTGGTACCAATTTGTCGACCCTGAAGCAATGGAAGGCTTGCTGAGTCCTGGGCGCGGGGATCGATCCTATGTGTATTGCTGGGAGCCTCCGACCACTGCACGACATATTGCGTCATACTGGTAATGTACTTATCGATTTTCCACTCTCCTTGATCGCAACAGCGAAAAAATTGGTAAAAACGGATAGAAAACAAGGAATTCGCCTAGTAGGCACTAAAAATATGATCTGGTAAAGAAGTGGAGATTATAAAAGTTGGAATAAAACGGGTTCCGGCCAAAACTATCCGATTTGCTTTCTAATTTGATGTGTGGCATTTGCTACACAGTTTGATGTACTAGTAACCTTAAGACTTACTTTGTGTTCGGCCGGTTGACTGAACGATCTCCAGTGTGAACTGCCCTGGTGCCTTACTAGTTGGTCGCATCTCAGCAGAATCCTGACGACGTCGTCTGAACTACTGCTTGGCGGGAGCTTCGACTATTTGAATACGTCGCATTGAACCTCCTATTCCAGCATTTATTCATACGCTTATTGACCGGACTTTTTCTGGAACGTTCGTATTGATCTTAGTCAACATCAGATCATTGATTTATTTGGTCCCAGTTATCCTATTGATTTACTGGACTTCCATCATCACCTATCGGTATATCGTTTACAACGATGTCGTCAGTTGTATAACAGTTGGTGTACACTACGGACTGTTTTCTATTTCGTATACTTCCCGGATTGCATTCAAAATTGATGCCGCTTCGGCGAACTGAACGGTTTGTTAAGGAGGTTTTGCCATTGATTCTTTCTACTTTTCTGTAAAAATATGGCTATTTTGTTGGAGAGTTTTGTTGTTGGACAGGACAGTTATTTCATGTAAAGGTAAACTATTGATCGTTCAGAACTCGATGTTGTAAAGGTACTTGTGTATACACTATAATCCTAGTAGTTTTGTGTTTCGAATTCTAAATATTACAACAAAAATTACTTTTTTTGCGTATTTAACTGCACCGAAGTCTGGGATTGCCACCCCTAACTCTGTGCGAAGTGTTCAAGTCACGTCCAAACATGTTTGACATTGAGCGTGAGTCATAGCGAACGGTTTGGTCATCGTGGTGTATCCGGAATCTTCCAGTTCCTCTTCCACTCTTTTCGAGTCCAAATTCGCTTAATTTCCTTCGATTCCGTGTATTTTTCTCTTAGCCGGGTTTTAACCGTGAGAGAAAGCGATGTGAAGGGCGCACATGGTGTGATGGTGTAACCGTTAGCCCTCGAAAAGGGTAATAGAGTGTTCGGACCCCACCGCAGACACTTGTGGCTCGGAGTTTTGCATATATCTCAGCATTTGTATATTTTATCGCTATGATCCTTTTCCTTTTCCTTCTAGAAGTGAGATGTTACGGTCAGCACCAACAGATGGACAAATTCATCCAAACCTTTTAAACAGCGAACCAGTGTGTACGACGTTAATGGACGGTTTCAGCACGACTGATGATGTCGATGTGAAACCTTTAGGAAGTTCACGGTATGTTCATGTTTGTAATGAGTTGAGATGTTTGCTGAACTTTTTCTCTGTTTCAAGCACTTCGGAAGAAATAGGTTTTATTTTTTTCAAAGATATTATTTTGTAAAGCACATCAGAGAGAAAGGCGAAACGATGGACCCGTATGGTATTGTGGTGAAGATGTTAACCACCGGAAAGGGTAATTACGTGTTCGTTCTCCACCGCAGACACCTGCGCGCCGGAGTTTTGCGAATATCTTAGAATCATTGTAGTTGTATTTCACATCATATCTCGTCATGAAAAAAGATTAGGCGAAAGACTTTAGGCTGAATACATTCAGTTTTTAGTAAAGTTTCCTAAATTATCACTTCGTTTCAGTAGTTTATTGGGGATTTCGTTCCTTCCGCAGTGTGTTTAGAACTTTAATAGTAAAACGATTGGCTTACGAAGAGTAAAATATCTCTAGTTGATCCCTTTCTACTACTTAAAATCCTGAAGAGCTAGGATTTTCGCTGTTCTTTTTCATCCACAAGGATCTCACATAGTCGAAGATTGTCCTGTATGGCTTTACCTTATCTTATGTTATATTCTTCAGCTCATCGTATTCTGAATTGGCGAACGTTTTGAGAGCAGCGAAGAGGCCTGAACCTCATAATATTGCTGCTGTTCAAGGTTCAACTGGTTCACAATATCGTGCCGAATATCCTGTGAAAGTGTGTGCGACTTCTTTCGCGAGTAGTATATTGCGGGGTACTGTTGACTTATAGTTCTTTCTTTTTTATATTCCTTGTTTCACTCTTCTTAATTTTTTCAAGACCCGTCATTACGAACTATAATGTTCTTTCTTCCAACTAAGGGCATGTGTAGCGCAATGGTCGGGGAGGCGCCCTGCAATACACATAGGATCGCTTGCCGCGTCCCTTGCCCACTAAGCCTTTCATCCCTCCAGGGATCGGCAAATTGGTACCAGACTTATCTGGGACGGTAGCAGCACTGGCTCGATACATCGGTAGGCCACCACGTGTCATTGTAAAAGCCTGATATGCATTCAATCACCTCCAAACGATGCTTAATGAAGTCCAGTGCATGGCGCATCTCTCAGGGATATATCAACGCCGAGTATTTTATCCTTTTATCCTTTTATTTTTGTTTTACTTTTCCTATTTTTTAAAGAAGCATCGTTACTAACTAAGTTCGGTTTGCCGACTAAAAACTTTGAAACCTATAAATATTTCTAGGTAATAGCTGGACTGTTCAAGCAAGCAGTAGTTTTCAAAATCAGTCACAACTTCCTCAAAATTCTTTTCATCCTAAGATCAAAACGAGTGTAGCCTATAACGCAGCGCATTGTGATGTAGCTCCACCAGTAAAAACTGGAACACAGTATGGCATCACCGCAAGTATCGCGAGGCCTAAGCAAACACTTAGGTAAGGTTTATGGATTCGTCTGGAGACTTTCTGTAATTGAATTTTATGGCTCAGGAGAATTGTTTGTATGTGACTTTGCTCATTTTAGTTTGACTGGGAGAAGTAATCTAGAGAATCGATGGCTTGATGAAGATATCACCCGCTATGGTTCTATTGAAGAAAACTGTGACGATTTCGATGAATGGGTGGAAAGGGTTAGCTGTGTTTAATCAGTATTTCTGACTCCTTTCTGTTAAGTAGCTGTCTTAGGTTGATGTTTCAAAATTTGAAGATATTAGCGTAGATTTGATGTCGCGGCCGAAGTTGGTGAAGAAGGATAGAGTAAGTATTCAGCATTTTCTTCGTATATTTCAATAATTGCTTTTTATCTATAAGGCTTTTATTGCAGAATCCACCAGTGACAAGTCCATATCCAAAACCAGGATGGTCATACTCAAATCTCATCGCCTTAGCCCTAAAGAATAGTGAAACAGGACAACTAACAGTATCGGAAATATATGCTTTCATGTTGTAGGTTGATAAACCCTCAGTGGTTTTTTTTTTCGATCACTTGGGTTGTTAGCGTTAACAGAACAGGCATGTATAAGAGAACGTGGACGAAGCACTAGGCGAAGAGCGAGAATGCTTTAGAGCATCTGTAATACATAGTTTTTGTAATTCTACTTAAATAGCAATTGATTTTTCTGCTCAGTCCCATAATATTCAGAGAGCACTTTCCCTACTTTCGTACGGCTCCATCCGGTTGGAAAAATTCCGTTCGTCATAACCTCTCGCTTAACAAGTGCTTCTGCAAAGTTGAAGTAAGCTGTTATTTGCGCATCCACTTAACTGTATAATATTGAATAAAATTCATTTTTTTAAAGTTGGATGAAGAGCTTTCGATGGTCCAGCAGACAAGAAAGTCATGCCTTTGGATGATCAATCCGGATAGACTTGATAAAGTGGAGCAGGACATACGAAAATGGCGTGAACGTAATCCTGATGCTGCCACTGAAGGCATGGCCCGACCTGGTAAAATATAGTTTTTTCTTTTTTTCTGTGGTGAGAGTTGTTCACTAATGTGTTAATGAGGGGTTCGTAATGTCAGAAGACTTGCAATCAATTGAGGATGGTACCAAGGGTATACCAACATGCAGGAACAAGAAACATGTGATGAAATCTGCTCATTCGGTCAAGAAGAGTCCTCCTCGAGAGGTATTCGCTCTATATATCTCTATTCAGGATTGACATTATGTATATATATACATATATATATATATATATATATATTTGTACTTTTATATGCGTACTACTAGTTTCTTAGGTTGTTCATATCCAAGCAAATCTCTTGGCTAACGAGGACGCAGTTGCAGCTGATGTTTGGTTTTTTCTTATATTTTAAGATTAAAATTATCAGTCATTACTTTACTGAAAGGTTTCAGGACCTTAAACAAATTGTTGAAAGCGATTATCAATCTGAAGCTGATGATATTGTTGTTAATCAGAATGTAAGTCTTGAGTTACATTGTTCTGTCTTATGGTTTGTGAAAACTAGCAAAGACAATGTTTCGTTACTTACTTTGACGGCTCGTCTTCACTGGTTTGCGGGACCCAGCATAATTTTCATTTCTTCGGAGTTTTGCTGATCTAGTCATTGTGGTTTCCTGGGGTCCCGAGGTCAGCCTAGCGTAGTCTGCCCCAGGTCGTCACCATCACAGGCAGTCGCCGACTTTGTGGATCAGAGGGAGATTTGCCACCTTGCGACTAGTTTCATACCAGGACGGTGGTGGATCCTGGTATTGGTTTACTCCTAGCTAGGTTTTCTGATGGAAACGCTGGACTCCTCAGTTTGCTAGAACCTGCCGGTTTAGAATCTCCCTGCTGTACATTGCAGGCGGGCACCCAGGGACACCTCTCTACCACGATGATGCTGTAACCGTTGGGAGGAGCAAAGACAATGCAACAGGAAGCTTCTGCACATAGTGGGTAGAAATAGCTCTTTGATTGGGTCTATAGGATGAGTCAAGTCAGAAAATGATGCAAAGTCTTATCAATACCTCAGTTTAAATCGAGATGTATTGATCGGATCAAAATTGCTGGCTGATGGACACTAGGAGTAATTTCAGCTATTGATTTCTACTATCAAAACAGAGCCTAGTGGCGACCATTTATCGGATTACATGAAGCCTACACCTGCTGAGGATTTATTGCAAATCACATTTCCGCCGACCGAAGTTTTAGTAGGAACAAGCACTAAAAGTTCTAATAAGGTACAGTTTGTGTTGTTTACGTACTTACGTCCATGGGTATCTTACTTTGCTGCTTTGTAGCGTCAAAGGGCCGAGTCGCCCTATTCACCGTGTAGGGAAATACCTGTAGTGGATTTATTGCCAAGTGCATTTGTGGACGCGTTTTTGAATTTAACACCACCGAAGGTGAAACGACTAGACACAGAAGAGTCACTTTCTCCAGTAGAGTAAGATTTGGACTTTTTTTTTCTTTTCATGAAATGAAATAGGGGCATTTATGGTTGATTTCAGAATCGAATCTGGTTTTCGGCATGCTCACGATGCGTTGAACGACAATTCATTATTAGCAGCAGCGCTTGAACAAAGCCCATATAAGATGCCTGTGACTTTTCCTGTTTTATGATGACTTTTTTCATCGATTTATTCCTTTATTCCTTCTTTGCGTGTACCCTCATTCTTCTTCGGAGTCATTTTTTTCATAGGAGCTTTCAAAATTTGATTTGGATTCATCCACCTGATCTCGATCACTTGACCCTTCTTCATCGATCTTATTGAAGAAATTCGTTCCTTTCTCCTTTTCTTATCCGTAGATGCAGTGCATTCGTAAGATATTTGAGTGTTCTACTGAAGCTAAAAGCTTTTACTGGGTTTTAGACAAACCATTTTAAAGTTCATCGCGTGTGTGTAGTTGTTTTCAATTCCACGATTTCTGCTCTACTTGTGAACTAATAGGTGAATAGAGCTGATTGTTCTAATTGTGTGAACTCTAACAATGCTACTTGTGAGTTGATGGGTCAGTAGAACTAATTGATATACTACTTTTGTGTATTACGGTCTTTCAATATCTCCAAGAACCTTCATTTTCTTACCATATTCACTCTGCTGTAATATTCTTGCTGTAATATTTTGTTATTGTTGTTAAACTGTAAAAATCCACTTAATCAAGGGCTTGTTATACACAGGTGCTGTAACAATAATTGTGTTAATAACGATTTGGTTACATTTTGTGTCTACTATGCGAAACTCTAGCGGTTCAACGCTTTTGAATTGCAAAGCACTTGTCCGTCAGTCAGTTGTAAGATGACGAATTTTCAGGTAAACAGATATCCTTATGGAAAACAAAGGGGACATCAGCTGCTTTTTAGTAGGAAATGTGAGTTTTCATCATTGACAGGCTCTTTGTTAAACTTGGCCTTGATCGATTGTCCGTTTTCTGGAAGGGCATCTGTAGCGCAGTGGTCGGAGGCGCCCCGCGATACACAAATGGGATCGATCCCCGCGCTCGTGGCTCACTAAGCCTTCCATCCATCCAGGATCGGTGATTTGGTACCAGATTTGTCTGGGAGGGTAGCAGCACTGGCTCGATACATCGGTAGGCCACCGCAAGTTATTGTAAAGGGCAGATATGCATTCAATCACAGTAGATTTCCGACGATGCTTAATGAAGTAGAGTGAATGGCGCATTCTATAGAGACTGATCAACGCTGAGAGCGTTATCCTTTCAGCCTTTTGTTTATTCGCAGTAGCTGACGTCTTAGCGCCTTCATGTTCTTCAGAGCTTTGAAAGGTCAAGTTGAAACGAAATCTACTCGGTCGAGAACTTTCGTTACCTGAGAAGTGTTCTTTATACTCACTTTATGAAGCCAGGTAGTTCGTAATCCTTGGTATAACTCTTTGTGCGGAACGCAGAGTTATCTAATTTGCTCTAGCAATAGCGACTGTGTTTGCATGAGTTCGGGTACGCTGTACCTAACGTCTTGTGGAACGTATGGAGATGAATACATCGGCAAATCACGTGGACCACTCGGTCGCAGTGTAGAAGAACACTTGGAAGATATATTTATTTATATGATCTTATAAACTGATCTTCTTAAGTTGATTCGAGGTTGGTATAGGTCTTCGTTATCGTTGTCGTTGATGTTTGGGGAGTCCTACTCGTAACAGCACGGCTCTGGGCTAGGCGAAATCGCCGAAACAGCCATCGATCAACAACACAAACACCAACGACAACAATAACGACACCGACAACGAAGACCTATGCCAACCTCGCATCAGCTTAAGAATATTAGTTTATAAGATCAGATAGGTAAATATATCAGCTATCTATGCCGAAGTTTATAGAAAGTCGATCTTTTGAATTGCTTAGAAGATAAGCGTGAAGTTAAACGAAACGTTCCAGTGGAGATGCATGGACACAAAGACGTAGCGGAGAAGATTTCGAAGTAGAAGTGACTATCCTCACAGGAGTCTAAAATTTCAGGCCGTAAACTCCCTCGAAGCTTTCTGGATGAATTCCAGGAATCTGCAAATGAAGCACAAGGAGGAGTGCTTCGTTATTGCGCTTGATCTCACAGGTTATCTCAGACTGACATTTTAACCTGAGAGAGCGCCTTATCCTTCTGTGTAGATTCTGAACTGTTGACCTCCACGTAAGTACTCAGTAGAAGACTCATGGAGAGGTAGCTGTGTGAAGCTGTTTTGTTTGCAATGCGATTGAAATCTAGGTCCCATGACTACTCTGTTGTTGAGGTTTTGAAAGCGTTTTACTGAGTCAATTTCATGCAATTTTGACCTTTCCAGGCCCTGAAGTAGGCGAAACTGTTGAATTATCAGCTATTGTGGGTAAATAAATAGCCTGATAACAACGTTGTTTTTGTTCATTAAGAGAGCACTGAATTATAACAGCACTGAGGTTGAGAGACTTGCTAAAACTCCGGACGGCAGGTGTCTGTGGTGGGGATCGAACACATTGTTACCCCTTTCGAGGTTTAACGTGTTCACCACCACTCCATGGGGGTACCTCGTTTCGCCTTTCTCTCAGCCGTGAAAGGGTAATAGCGGGTTCGATCCCCACCACAGGCACCAGCGTTCTGGTGCTTTTCAAATGTCTCGGCCTCATTGTGGTTACATTTCACATCAAGCCCTGCTATAGGCAGTAAATAAAAACGAAAGACAGTGAATTGTATCATGAATGAGCTGACTGTGAAATGTTCGTGTACAGCGTGACTGTGTAGTTGATATAGGCGCTTGGTAATAGGATGTAGTTGTCAGTCTTCTCAATGAAATTATATCATTTTTGAAAGTGAATGTTTATCATACGAATGGGAGAAGGGCGCGGATAGCGCAGTGGTCGGAGACGCCGTGCAATGCACGTAGGATAGATCCCAGCACCCCGGGCTCGCCAAGCCCTCCATTCGTCCGCGGTCGGCAAATTGGTACCGAACTTGTCTGGGAGGATAGCAGCACCGGCTCGATACATCGGTAGGCTACCGTGAATCAGTGTAAAGGTCAGATATCCATTCAATCACCACAAAGCGATGCTTAATGAAGTCGAATGCATGGCGCATCACTCAGGGGTTGATCAGCGCCGAGAGCTTTATTCTTCTTATGCTTATTAATGAATGGGAGAATTTTCGTTAGGTAATTTCGTTTTAGAAGACTGTTCTGCTTTCGAGAACAGGTAGAGAATTTGTCAAAGTGAGATTCTTAGTTGGATCTACATGATTCTTTTGGAATAAGCGATTTTTTTGGTGTAGGCACCATCTTCCGTGTACTACATTCCAAACTTTATAACGCCGGAAGAAGAGGAAGTGTTCAAGTCCTGCATACTCAACGCACCTCAACCGAAGTGGACCGTACTGTCGAATCGCCGATTGCAAAACTATGGCGGTCTGGTTGGTCGGAAAGCACTAATACCGGCTAACGATATACCTTCGGTCAGGAAATTCGTTGTTCTTTCGTTTGTTATGGATTCATTTTGTTTATTCGCCGTGATTTAGGAACTGAACGGTCTTATGAAGAAGATTGACAGTCTAGGTGTTTTCCCACGTCCAGCAAATCATATTTTGGTTAACGAGGTATATAAGTTTTCTTAACCTTTTTAGATAAAATGCTTGCTTCTTTCGCAATGGCTTTAGTAGCATTAGAGGATCTGATTTTTTGAAAGTTGTCGAAACGAGTTATGTGCCGCTTGGATGCTTGGATATTTGGATGGCCCGTTTTCACTGGTTGTGCTAGCCCCAGCATAATTTCCATTTTTTCGGAGTTTTGCTGGTTAAGCCATTGTGGTTTCTTGGAAACCCGAGGTTAGCCTGACCAAAGTCTGTTCCAGATTATGTACCACTAACTGTGTAAAATAAATTATTAGCAAACTATGTTAGGAAAGAGAAAATTTCAGTACACTCCTGGTCAAGGAATTATGCCACATACTGACGGTTCGGCTTTCTACCGACTAGTATCGACTGTAACTTTGGGTTCACATACACTTCTTGACTTGTATAAGCCAATCAACCAAGAGGTGGGCTTAATTTCCAACTTTCCAGATCGTTTCCGTTACGTAAAGTGTAGAAAATTTTGAAAAACTGCAAAAACTGAAAAAGAAAGCAAAAGGAAAGGCGATAGGGGGCTCTATGGTGCTGTAAGTAACACGAGAGCCGTCGGTAAGGGTAACTGCGGCTTCGAATCTGGCGTGAGGTCTGTTTCTTGAATATGTCAGCGTCGTTGTGGTTGTATCTTTCATAATATGAATACTTGTTTACTTGTATACTAGGATGGTCCTTCTTCACTGGTTGTGCGGGCACCAACATAATTTGCATATTTCGGAGTTTTGCTAGTTTGGCCATTGTGGTTCACTGAAGTCCCGAGGTCAGCCTGGCCAAAGTCTGCCCTTGGTCGTCGCCATCGCAGACAGTTGCAGCCCTTGTGGATCAGAGGGAAATTTGCCACCTTGCGACTACTTTCATACTAGGACATGGTGGACCCTGGTATTGATTTACTCTTAGTTGGGTTTTCTAATTGAAACGCGAGGCTCCATTTCAATTTAGGAGCCCTGGTGAGGGGATGAATCCCCCGCTGTGCATTGCAGCCCTACATCCAGGGACACCTTCCAGCCACGACGAGGTGGTAAACCGTTCGGAGGCATTATGGTTTCCATAATATTAATACTTGATAAAAAAACATCATTCTCACAGAGAGTTCATGGCAGTGCACCTGAATACTTAAAATGCGAATACAACATTAGTACAATGGCGTGTCTGGACTTCAAAGCTGCCGCTTTCGGCAAACGTCCTGGTGGTATTTGTCGAATACATTTAGACAAAAGGACGTCTTTCCATACGAGTAAAGTAATATATGGTGCAACACAATATATTGTTACATTATAAGCTTTTCATTATGTGCTGGCGATTCTGTCGGTACAGCAATACTGATGGGATTAGCGCTAACATGCGGGTTTTGTCGATTGGTTGTCGTCGAAGCTTTTGTGGATATCCAATTGGCACTTTTAGACGATTGAGTGACCAGTGAGGTTTTTTTCATGAGTGGCTTTTCCCTTGGCTTCATGATGGTCAGAGAGAACGATATCCTGCAGCAGATCCTGAAAAATTGCCGAATTTTCTCCTTCATTCTATGTTTTCATTATTCTGATGGCATATTAAAAACAGCATATAATATCTGTGGCTCTTAACGACTCCATATAACAATATGACCGGTATTATTTGACATAATAGTATTTTGTCACTAGGCCTCATTCAACCATGCGCATTGATTTCAGTGCGCAAGTGTCTGAAAATAATTTGCTCTTTAAGTTATTTTTAAATAAACATTTCCTAGGTCATAATGGATTTTATGGAACCATTCAAATTTACACATATTTGTCGACGGGAAACAAGTCTTCTTATTCGACCACGGGGAAATTCTAGTTATTTGGAGGCAGATAAAATCCATAGTTTCATAATGAATCCTTGAGAGTGAAGATGCTTCTCTTATCTTGGTACAGCTATATTTGAGTAGGTTGAAGTTCTGGGAAATCGAACACTGCAACTACTAAGCCATTTTCCCTATCTACTTTTTTATTTAAAACGTCGTCTTTTAAGAAGTTCTCCTTACTTGAATACTAAGGGTGCGTGTGGTTTTATTTAGTGGTTGGAGGCGCCACTGTAACACACACGTGGAATCGATTCCCGCGCCCATGGCCCACCAAGCCTTCCATCCTTCCGGGCTCAGCAAATTCGTACCAGACTTCTCTGGGAGGATAGCAGCACTTGTTCGATACATCGATAGGCCATCACGAGTCATTGTAAAGACTAGATATGCTTTCGATCAACTCCAACGATACTTAATGAAGTCGAATGCATGGCGCACCTTCAGAGGGATTGATCAACGCCGAGAGCTTTATCCTTTATACTTGGATACTTGGACGGCCCGCCTTCACTGGTTGTGCGGACCCCAGCATAATATCCATTTTCTCCGAGTTTTGCTGGATTTGCCATGCAATCGACTTCATTAAGTGTTACTAGAGATGACTGAATGCAAAGGTATTTGGCCTAAACAATGAATGACTTATGGTGGTCTGCCGAGGTATCAACTTAGTATTCTATCGTCCCAGAGCAACCTGGTACTAATTTGCCAACCCGAAGAGATGGAAGGATTGGTGATCCTGGGGCGGCGGTCGACCATTGACCACTGCGCTAGAGGAGTTCCGTTTGTTAAGAATTCTCCGTAAATATATATTTCCTTTACGTCTAAATTCTTATTCACTGCCGATGATTAGTGGATAGTATAGGTAACATGGCGTTGGCGCATAGCACTTGCTTTACCTTTTTTCTTATGGTATAAATAAAGGACAAAGATCTTGTACTTTTTAATGGTATGCTAAGCTAAATATCGAAAAACATAACTTCATAAAGTCACTATAACTGTAACTTTTACTAGTTTTTGTGTACTACTCCTTGGTCGATGTAGATAAGCTTGGTCGATAAGCTTTAACAAAATGGCATCTTTTTTCAAATAGTCAAAACTTTTTCCCAAATGGAAAGCTCACTGGGTGGGACATCCTTTCTTCCTGGAAACTTTTGTTTTTTCGACTATGGATTGGATATGTTTCACAAGCAGAATCTATATCGCAGTCTGGCATTATTGATTTATTTAGGTTTTGTGGAAAGTGGGGAAAATCCTCTATGGAACCTGAATTTTGGAAGTTCTGTTTAAAAAAAATATTTTGTGTATTGAAGAAAACGAGAACTTGTCTATAAATGGTTAGGGTAGTTAAGGATCGGTATTGCAAAAGAAGGTATTTTCTTTAGTTAAAATAGGGAAAGATGTCTATTCTAACGTGCTAAAGAGGTAACTAAGGTGGTTGGTAACTTACCTGGTAAACATGTTTTTTATTCTGTCGAAGAAACCTGGATCCTTTTTTGGGCGTGTGACATTGCGTTCGTTACTGAAACGGTCGTACGCTTTTTGAATCATCTGTGAATAAGATTAGTTCTAGGATCGAAAAGGAATTCTACGCACTCCTTTACTTTAACTGTTGTACTTCTTCTAATCGGATCTTTCGTGCATAGTTGGGGACATCTACAGTCCTGATGTGGCATCATAATAACTTCACTAACGGAACCTTCCAATCTGAAATAAGTTTTCTGTCTCCACTACATTTTTTCTAGTTTTCTTAAATGTTTTGTAGAATTATAATAAGAATGCAATGGAGTTATTTCCTTACTTCACTTGACTAACTGATCCACAGGGTGGATGGTTGGGAATACGAGATGTTTCTTCGGAATACAACGGATGGATTTCATTCCAAAATGGATCGCGACGTAGTTCAGGAGGCCGGTCATATCCTTCGTCGACAATCGTCATACCCATCTGGAAAACAACTTAGTTGAGTACCGTTGTCTCACCACTTCATTCTTACTTTTTTCTTCTCAGAGTTCTTTATTAACAATGGAGGCAGATATCACTGTAGTAGTCATGCCGATCATCACCAGCACGGTGCTGGTTCGATCCGCCACAGGTTGCCAGACATGTCATTCTGTCCATGTGCAGACCTTGTCTGTGAAAAAATCACTCTCTGCAGTCCAGTTGGGAGCATCCCAGCCCGGTTATTTCAGGTCTCCAGGGAGAATCGACTCGAATCAGCATTCTTCGACATCCAAGATGAAATGAAAATCCTCAACCAGCACCCGATGTTACACGTAAAATTAAGAAGACCTTCGTGGATGATGAATGTGAGGAAACGAATCGAATGTGAAAAGTACTGGGATCCGTACAGTAGACGTGAAAACGGGTCGTACAAAGTAAAAAAATGAAAGCAATTCTTTGTTAACTCTAGTGTCTATAAAGATTTATGTCTACGAAAATAAATATACCTTGAAGTTTGCTGAAGTGCAACTACAACCATGTAAATCTTTGAACCCTCGATGTGTCCAGTGTCTCACAATATCAATGAAAACACAGTAGCATTTCCTCTATAGAAATGTTAGCTCTTGTTTAAGATAACCTTCTGCGTAAAGCAATTTGTTAACTGAACGCCATTGGGATTAGTAGGAGACTTATGATCCAGTTTTATTCCTAGGATTGGTCATACTGCAGAAAGGCTAGTTAATCACAATGTCTATCATCCAGTCTTTACTTTTACCATGGACACAAAAGATGATCTATGTTTTTCTCGTGTAGTATGGATAACGGTAACGTACCGTAATGTTTCTATCTATTAGTGCATTCGTTTCAAAGTCATCATCGTCTTCTCCAAAAGGATTAATCACTGCCTCGATCACTTTCATCCATCCCATATAAAAGACAAACTGTAGTGTTGTCATGATGGGGAAGAAGATATCAATCTTAAAATGGTTTCCTGCATGGCGTACTATACGTGAATTTCTAAGTACTTAAATACTACCTCACCTCAGTTCTAAGTTCATGATCGACAATAACCTGTTGCCGTGCTAGTATGCAGACGAGGAAGTAGAGGTGCACTGCCATACACACTACCTGTTTTCACACCATATTAATTTAATACCTTTTGAAATTTTCAACAATTTTTCTCCGTTAAAAATGTCTGCAAAGAAAAACACATATATTTATCAATTATAGTATAGGCCTGTTAGATTGAACTTCATTACAATATTAACTTTTATTGACTGCCTGCCGCAATTTTTCAAGGCAGAGTTTTATGTGGAATACAACCGCAATGATGCTGAGATATTTACGAAACTCGGGACCGAAGGTGTCTGCGGTGGTGACCAAACACACTATTACCTTTTCTGTGTGCTAACCGTACACCGTCTGTCTCTGATGTAGTTTTCTATCTGGTAGATATCTGGCACTGGCAAATAGAGTACTAGCTGAAAGGAAAGCGAAACGAGGGGCTTGTATGGTGTGGTGCTAAACGCGTTAGTCCGCGGAAAGGGTAATAGCGTGTTCAATTGCCACCGAAACTAAGTTGGCTGACGTAAGAAAGTGATGCCTTACATCTTTTGGAGTTATCTACCTTATTCCTTATTGTTACTCCTTCTTTTTTCTTGTAATTTGCTCTATTGAAACGGTTTTGAACGTAGGCATAAATGGCACAAACCTGTGGATACATTAATGGCAATGGCACCCAGTCGTAATTGAATACCCACTCCAAATTGGTACGCCATTTTCTAATTTCCTATAAAGGTATGAATACATAATGAAGAAATAAGCAGTTATATTTTTCTGTTAGATCACCAGTGGGAGGACGTTGACCATTTAGAATGAGTTCTCACTTCTTGAAGTACAACTTTATAGTAGGCGCTTTCAATATATCCATGTTTCCATGCTTCATATGTCATTGATAGTGCCCAGCTTGCTGGAATCCAATATTTTGGAGTACCTGTCGCATCGCTGTATGATTGAAAAATTTCCTTTTCATGAGGAAGCATGAGTCCTGAATATTTTATCTCATTTGAAACAGTGTTAGTATTAAATAACCAGTTGAGAAGAAAAATCACAAGCTATGCATGAAACTAAATGATCGTTTGAAAAATTCGGGAAATTTCTAGACGATGATATTTCACCTGCTGCAACAATTGTGTCTATCGTAGGAAATCGTCGCCGGACTCTCATGCTAATATCACGAAAAACGAGAACCTTAAAGAATTTAATTCAACTTTTTTGAGAGCGTTTATTTGAACATAAAGCTCTAAAGCTCTGGATAAAGTTCTCGGCGTTGATCCATCCCTGAGGGATACGCTATGCATTCGATTTCATTAATTATCGTTTGGAGGTGATTGAATGCATATCTGGCCTTTACAATTACTCGCGATGGCCTACCGAAGAGCCAGTACTGCTATCCTCTGAGACAAGTCTGGTACCAACTTGCCGACTCCTGAGGGATGGAAGGCTTGATGAGCCATGGGTGCGGGGATCGATTCCACGTGTGTGTTGCAGGGTGCCTCCAACCTCTGCGCCACACGCGCCCTATTTGAAAAAAAATCAACACACAGAAAATCAAATAAAAAGCTAGTTATGTATCTCCGAGAAAGATTTTTTCGTAAATATTCCACTAATTACCGTATTTCGATAATAATCATTACTATACAACGCTAGCTGACGTTTCGGCAGTATCGCCTTCTTCAGAGCCTGGAAGGGTACGCTGATATACAATCTACTAGGCCAAACGCTCCCCCTAATAGCAGGGACGATTGCCCGGAGGTCATACGCGACCTGATCCCGTATGTTCGCATCGATTTTTGATGTGGGATGGTGCAGTCGTCAACCACATGCGACTATAATCAGCTGTTCTAAACTTCCTCATTGGAAGTCACGAAAAAGCGGTGGGTTTTTCGAGAAGTTGTTGATCGTGTAATTACCAAAGAGTCTTTCGTCTTTGTGTAAGTGTTATTGAAGCGTTTGGCCTAGTAGATTGTATATCAGCATACCCTTCCAGGCTCTGAAGAAGGCGATACTGCCGAAACGTCAGCTAGCGTTGTATTGTATTGTGTTTTTATGGAAGTAAATGTATGCTGTTTAAAAACCTCGCGATTGCTGAACAAGAAAACGACACATTCATATTCCAATGCCGAGGTTAAGAGAAAGTCGATCCTGGGAAATAATCATTACTATTTGAATATATTAGTAATATTTCATATAAGCACGACGGTGTACGATTGAACGTGGGGTTGTGTGTAGCAGACTGGTTAGAGGTGTAGAGCAACCCACACGTGGTCGATGGTTCATTTCCACGCCATGGCAAGTGGAGAGTCTGCAGACTGCGATTTGCGATATGTATCCTATGGATGGATAGGCGTATTACTTGCAGCGACGTCGAGCATCTCCCACGGACCAATTAACGGATGAATCGATGGCGAGCGCTTTATCTTTTATCTTTATGGCAACATAAGGTATTTGTTTGTGTATCGAACTTGTTAAATTCCTTAATTTGGCAATTACACGCTTATGGTAATCTTCTTCTGGTTGAAGATATTTGAAAGGAAGATTACTCGACGAATCTGAGGATTTCGTAATTTACACTCTAAGGCTGCAATTGCTTGATTTGAATGATCAAAATATTAGTGATCGATTAGGGTGGAATACTCCAAGAAGTTGTGCCGAATAAGCCGAATAAAAAGCGACTTATATACCTCCAAGAAGTTTTTTTGTAAACACTTCATTAATTACCGTCTTTTTTCGCATATAACACTTCATTCCCTTAGTGACTTACTTCCGATACAGAATGATGGGTATTTTCGGTTGTCAAACTCTGATTTACAACGGGACATCCGTCCATGTGCAGGATCACCCAGGCCAGGGAGGAGTTCGGAATTTCCTTATAAATGCCCAGCGAATGAAAAATCTCTGCTGGAATAGAAAAATGAAACTTTTTAGTGTCTTCTTTTTCTATTCGTCATATGTAAGTGAAATACTTATGTCTCTGAATAAAAGTTAAAGGAAAACCTCAATTTCAACTTCAAAGGAACTTTAAAAAAGAAAGAATGCGTTGTTATATATACCAACCTGTACTAATTCACAATAACGCAAAATGTTTCTCCGGTACATTCGTGCCCGTTCGGTTCTTCCTCGGACATACAGCGCTGTCATGAGACCAATACTTAATAGAATTAAGTAGATACATACTTTTTATTTTCTTCTTACATCAATTTTTATGGTTGTGTGTTATGCGAAATACAGCCACAACGATGCTGAGATATTTGCAAAAATCCAGACCGCCGGTGTCTGCAGTGAGAATTGAACACGTTACCACCCTTTCCGCGGGCTAACGAGCTCACCACCACACCATGCGGCTCCTTCGTTTCGCTTGTCTCTCAGCTACGTGGTAGGTAATAGTGTTTTTATGGTATTAAAGAGTAAAGCCTGTAGTTCTCAATGTTGTCGGATGTGAATTACGTCTTTAATGAACTGCGCAACTTTTACTCAATTGAGGATTTCTATTCATTTATTTTTATAAGCTGATAGTAAGTAATGGATGTGGTCATGCAGTAGAATGAGGTTTTGTTCATACAAAGATGGCCACACTGGTTCGACTCCAGTTGAGCTGTGTAGCTACCAGTGCTTTTGGTTCGGTAGCGGGCATACTGACTAAAGGTTAGTGCTCTGTTGGGATTTATTCTTGTTGACTTCTTTATGTTCTAACTGGAACCACATTCGCAGTTTTTTTTTGAATTCATAAAGACTGTGTAGTTTATTCTATGTTTTCTCTACCGCTTGAAGTGTTTCGGATGGATGTGACGGTGCTGAGCGCACACGAGTGAATACTACCCTTTTTGTAAACTGTGAAAGGTCTTATCTCTTTGGATATGAACAGAATGTAAGCAAAATATATGTAAAATATCATACTTGTCTATAAATCCTATGTTGTCATATTGCTTGTTCCATCTGTTGAATACTTGAGTACAGAAAAATCCAAGAACAAGTTCCAAAGGAATGTAGGACAGGCGCGCATCAAAAAATCGTACCAGGGCTTCGAAACTCCTTAATTTCGTTCTATACTCTAAAATTCCGAATGTGTTGTAAATAATGAGGCAAAGTCCAATGGGTGATCACTATTTAAGAACTTTTAAGGTCACCAAGCTCAATGGCCCGCTAGATCATTTACATTACGTCTGCAGCAAAATGTGTAGAAATATCGCAAGTCCTCTTTTTCTTTCTAAATTAATTAGAAGGCACTGTTGTAACCATCTATTGTAAAGGAGAAGAACGAGGGCTAATCGAAAACGGCGCGGTATCCTCTTCTGTAAGTGACATTTTCATAGAGCCTCATGACTTGAGGTTTCGAGTTTCGAAAGACCTTTACTCTAATACGAACTGGAATTTTACAAGTATGTTGAAAACTAGTCGACATTTTCTGGACTATGGCTTTCCTTAATGCCTTTGGCATCGTTTTCCTTGCTTCACCTCCTTGAATAAGAAAGCACTACTTACTCAAATGAGGCTTAATCACAAATCACATGTGCAATATACATCAATCAGGTGTTCGTTTTTTAAATGAGCTCTTCTTTTCCGAAGCTTGAGAGGACCATTGATGGCATTGATGGCATTCTAAAATCCTTATCACGGTCTATCACCAGCCGTTTTGACTGAGATTCAAATTTTCCGTCATGCTGCGTTTTCTCGCGCTAAACGTTTTTTTCAGGACGACAGGAAACACAGGCATTTGTTCATTTGGAACTTGGTTTCAGATTTAAGCGTCGAAGTCGTCCACAGTATGAGAAAGCTACCTCAATGGTAAACCTCTGTTGTACGGCGCCGTTCGATAGTTAGGATTATCCATTTGCCACTGTGAGGTAATAGACCATAAAGGATAAAGTTCTTGGCGTTGATCAATCTCTAAGGGATATGCTGTGCATTTGACTTCATTAAACATAGTTTGGAGGTGATTGAATGCTTATCTGGCCCATACAATGATGACTCGCGGTGGCCCATCGATGCATCGAGTCAGTGCTGCCATCCTCCTAGATAAGTCTGGTGCCAAAGCGCCGACCGCGGAGGGATGGAGGGCTTGGCGAGCCTAGGACGCCGGGATCAATTCCATGTATATTGCAAGGCGCCCCCGACCACTGCGCCACATGCATCCCATTGAGCCATAGAGAAAAAGAAGCTATTGAAAAATTTTTTGTTTATGCTACACTTAAAACGGTTTGAATGGAAATAAAGTGGAAGCGAAAACGAATAAAAATGTACTGGAAATGAAAGCATACCTCTGCTGGGATGGGTTTAGCGCACGTCGATAGACGACCGAGATGATCTCATAGATGAAAAGAAAAATTATTAACTCCAAATATACAGCTTTCCATATGCTCCCTTTCCATTTAAGTAATAGCTTGAAGAACGTCCATGACTTAGATGTTGATGCGTCTCGATTATAATTAACGGTCATCGTATCCCTAAAAAAGTCGTACCTGAGCAGTAGTACTGTAATTGAGTTATTGATTTGACGATTAAAGAAAACGATAGAAGTGGAAGAATTGCGACAGTTAAAGTGGAAAACGCGATTGAAAACGAAGTATTGATTGCACGTTTAAGGATAATTCTGTAAATGCAGAAAAAGTTTGTAAGAACTAGTGCTTCGTATCGATTAGAAATCTGGAACATGATCTATTTGTAACTAAATGGACAAGTTCTACATTATGGAAAATAGGAGCGTTTAACGTTTTCCATTAGTTGGATCGAAAACTGAAACCAAGCTTACTTACCTATTTTCTATACAATTCTAGCCTTCACTACTTCAGCCGGCTTTGAAATGGAATTGTGTTTTACGAGGCGAACTTCCAATCGCTTTCTGACCACAAATACGGCAGACGTACTTGATGTCTTCATAGTTTTTACGAGATCCCATTAAAAATTCCAGGCAGTGAGAAATGAATATTTTAGCGACACGTGGTACCCTAACTACAGTGTAGATAGTTACTTGGACACGAAGTCTCGTGTGGAGGGTTTTCTTTTGAACTGTTAAGTGAGCAAACTCACGGACGTTTTCATTCGATAGAGATCTATAACTATGATTGCAGTAAAAGTAAGAAAACCGGTTGTCGTTAACGGTAAACACAACCGGCGGTGTTGTCAATTCGCTGAATACAAGAAACATTCGAGGTTGACGATTCGATTCGCCTCTTTCGAAGACTCTGAGTGACCGAGTTCAAGAGCACCGTCACCGTGATCAATATTTCTTAAGTTTTTCTACTTTTCGGTAAAAATCCATGTGAAATGCATTTTAGAGGCCATTTCACGGCTAAAGGTTTTGAAATACGAGGAATCTCATGACTTATTCTTGCATGACTTCTTTGAGAGAGAATTCCTCTGATTTGAACAGCAGATTTGAATCCTTTTTCAGTGGTTCCATGTACATTGAGGGGAACCTTAGAACTGGCCTTCTGTAATGAGAACGCGTAATTGAATGGGGTTTACTATCAGTGTAGAAGTTTTGATGGAATGAAAGACTGTCGAGCGAAAGTAGTGGTGTTTGAAAATGAAAAAGTGGTTACGACTAAGAGTCATGCTTTCCACCACTATAAATCAAGTTGAACCGTTTTTCCGTTTTATTTCCATTCATAGGCTAAAAATAGAAATAGCTGAAGTTCATCGTATTTGAATTTATTTCCTGTGAATCAAGAGCTTTTTCTAATTACATGGCTTTAGTGCATTAGTAAATGTGTATAATTTCACTGCTAGTTATTGTATAGTTAATTTGAATAAGTTTACTTCTGACAAGTGTGAACTGAGGTCTGGTGGCATAATGGTAAAAATTGGAGTCCGTTCGTGGTCCGTAATAAGCAAGTGAGGATTAACTATATTTGAATACTTGAAAGGTACCTTTTCATGAATGACGAAGGTTCGCATGGGCTTCAGTGCAGTTTTGTTTGAGTAGTAACCCTTTGTTTTGAAAACGTATCCTTTTATGAAGTGTCGTAGTAGCCGTGCTGCTAGCCGCATTGAGGCTTTCCAATGTCACCGTCGCAAGCATTTGCCAGCCTGTATGGGTCTAAGGAAAACTTGCCACCTATCCACTAGATGTCCATAGCGACTTCGAAAGCGCCTGCAGTTAACATTTTGCTCTTATCTAGGAATTCACCTGGAACTTCCTTACTCGTTGTCCACCAAAGGACCATTCTGAGATGGTGGTTTCCCGCTCTACATTGTAGTTCTGTGGTCAAGAGCACCCTGAAGCCGAAATGAGGGCTACACCGTTGTGAGCGACCATTAAGTGTGTGTGTGTTGTGTATGTATGTATATATATATATATATATATATATATATATATATATATGCGTGCGGGTACAGGTGTTTGTATGCATGCCTTCGTGCGTCCTTGTGTGTTGGTAAATTCTCATCTTGTTACCGGATTCCTTTATAACAGTTTTTATGTGTTTTCACGATGCGTGGAATTCGGAATGGTGTGCAATGACGAGTCATTAGGGTCCTGCCAGAGACAAGAGTTATCAGTGTCGCCGATCTTTAAGAGATTTCGCCTTTCCACCATGAATATCATATTGTCACAGATGTGTGATTTATAGCGGCACTAATGTAAAACGGAACATGGATTACTTTTTTCTAAACATAAATCTTGTATTTGGTACCATACGTCACGAATTGATTGGCAGTTGTGACAGTTTTCGTAGGTGGAGATGGTTCTCTCAGTTGCGGTGTTAAAAGAATCTGACAACTATGTTTCCTTTTTCATTTTTTTAACATTCATTTTTGTTTTCGAGCAGTATCTAAAGTGTTTTATTTATAGCTGAAAACCCAGCCATTCCTGGTTCTAGTTAATAACAACAGTAAGCAAAGGCGTCTAAACACTTAATGTTTTGAATAGAACCGATGTGTGGATCCTGTCTTAATAACTTCGTCATACTGCAGTATTTTCTTTGGAAACCAAAGAATTGTTATTGAATTCACTTTAAGTTCTCATTCGCCAGCGACCACTTTTTTCAGCACCTAGCAGTTCTTTCCATTATTCAAAGTATGGCTTATATCAGTGATGAAGTTGTAGCTCTAGGAAACTTCTAGTGAAAAGAGCTACCAAGCAATAATTTTTGCGGTAATGATCTGAAAAAAGGTGAATGATAGCAGTATTGCTGTAGAATTGATTTGTTTGTTGTAACCGTGATAAAAAGTCGCATGGTGGCAAATATCCCTCTGATCCACGAAGGCTGCGACTGCCTGTGGTGGTGAAGACCTGGGGTAGACTTTGGCCAGGCTGACTTTGGGATTCCAGGGAACCACAATGGCTTAACCAGCAAATCTCCATGGAGGTTATGCTTTCTAGGGTCCACACAACCAGTGAGGATAGGCCATTCAAGTATCAAATAAGTATCAACCGTTATAAAGCATTTATCTACTTTAACGAAAGTTAGGTGAAAAGTGTTTGGGATTTCCTTCTATTCTTTCCCATTACGTTTAAAATATTCTGCAAACAGTTCTGAAAACAACGTTCACAAAGTACCACAATGTTTATTGAAGTTTATAAGACGAAGCGTTATATATTTTTACCGGCTTAAAGGAATTTCGAAATATCTGTGAGTAATTTTAACTTATTATTTGCTGCCTATTAGAATTTTCATAGCAGGGTATTATGTATGATATAATCACAATGATGCTGAGATATTTGCAAAACCCTGGATCGCAGGTGTCTGCGGTGGGGGAATGAACGTGCAATTACCATTTTGGGGGCTAACGCGTTCACCACCACACTATGCGGGTCCTTTGTTTCGCCTCTCTCTCAGTTAGTTCTATCAATCAATGCGTGTGAGTATTTTATTTGATTTGACTGATCAATAATTCAATGTTTTCTTTATGAACAAAGACGAGGTTGTTATTACAATATCTACTCATTCACGGTCGTTGACAATTTGGTTTCGCCTTTACAGTGCTTGGAAAAGTTAAACTGGCACGTAGTCTACTCAGTGAGACACTTCCATAGCCTAGGCAAAAGTTCACTACAGCAGAAGGTGTTTACTATGCGAATTAAGATTTACGTGTTAAGTTCTATCAGCTGAAGTCCTGAAAGTGTTTAGCTGAGTAGATTGCGGGTCAATTTGACTTCTCTGGTGAAGTCGAAACTGCCGAGACGTCGGCTTTTGTGAATGAATGTGAAGTACCGTAATAACACGCTCTTGGTTCCCCAAGAAGAAAACAGTGAATTATTGATCAATGCCGAGGTTAAAGGAAAGTCGGTATTGAGTTTTGACTTAACTGAATCTGAAAGTGCTTGAATTCCTTTTACAGTTTGTTGAAAGCGAAGAACAACGTTATGTTGGTTCGATGTTACTGGAGCCACGAAGTTTGTTTCTGATGACGGATGAGGCGTATATGAACATGTTGCACGGAATTAAAGAGGTCACTGAAGATTACATTGGTGATCGTGTCTTCAACGGACAACAACATTACGGGAAATCCCTTGTAAGGGGAACAAGGTGAGATTTCTATTGAGGAACTGAGAGTATATGAGAATAGAGTCACGATGAGATTACAGTGCTTTGTAGACGATTTTTTCGTCTCTAATACGAATTAACCGCTGTCTCTTATTTGTGGAGGGGTGAATTAGGGCAATGGGTTGATACCATGCAATAACACAGTTGTTACTCCGTTGTGCGTTTTGGCCTGAAGAAGACGTACATCATGAGTTGGTAAATTGGTGCCAGAGTTGTAAGGGGCAAAAAACCCAATGGTTTGATACATCCGTAGGTGGCTAAAAGCCATATTACAAGCCAGAAATGCATTGAATCACCTCTAGGATGTTACGAATGGAGTCGAATGCATGCCGAATCCTTAAAACGTTTATCAACGTCAGTTGTCTTCTTATTTTATTACCTTATTTATGACGACTCGTTGACAATTAGTGGTTACTCACTCATCACTATCTGATATTGTATGGGCGTTATATGGGATTGAATTCTGAGAAAGTTAGTCGTCAAAATATTTGTTTTATGTGTATCTTCTTCTGAAACAGTATCGTTAGTTTTATCACTGAGTCTTTCTGAAAAAACCATCGTTGGGTAGAATATTTTGCCGTAGAGTCTTCGTAGTATGGTGAACATTGAACGTCAAGAAAAGCGCGATGAATGGTTTTCTTTCAGGATTTCCATCACGATTCGCAACGTGCCGGTTGTGTCGAAGTTCAGTGTTTCGGATTTGATATCAAAGAAATAGTAATTAGATGTACTCTACCGGATGGGATGCTCTTTTTGATACATTTCTATTTTTTTATTACTGCTGTACAATGGTATCAAATGGGTTTATAAAAGTCTAATTCTAGTTGATATATTGGGTTTTTGGTTTTTACATGTTATGTGAACTTCCGCGTGTGGCGCAGTGGTTGGAGGCGCCACCACGACACACGTGGAATCGATCCCCGCGCCCATGGCTCACCAAGCTTTGCAT